CCCGCGACTGATGGTAGTGCAAATAACTCAGTAAACCCTCCCTATTAGGAGAAAAAAACAGAAGCCAGCTGTAGTGTGCAGAATGGTTAGTAATTAGATTAGTGACTTATTTTGCACATCCTTCTTATGAGACTATTTTTCCCCATTGCCTTCAATTATGCACCCCACTCGAGGGGATGGCTAGCAATGAGCAGTATGGGATGTCTGTTGATTTTATTCCATAAGCCCTGAATGAGAGGAGATAATATTTCCCAGCCAGTACCTTTCAGTCATTTCCTTTGGCTGTTGCTCGCATTCCCCAACCCATAGGCCTTGGTGAGAGAACAAAAGAAAGTATCTGGAGAAAATACAGGAAACTGAGCCAGCTCCCCAACTGGTGTAAATCAGCATCGCCCCACTGAACTTACTGGCGCTACGCTGATTTACGCCAGCAGGCACTCCGGCCTACTATGTGTCTGTCAAAGGACTTCTAGATGTCAGGCCTGATTCCGATTGCATGTCAATTTCACATCTGTAGACAAGGGCAAATATTGCAACTAATGTTTAAAAAAAAAAGTAGAAAAAAAAAGATAATGGTTTCTTCATGCATGTTTCCTTTGCAGGTTGTCTTTATGACAGGGGAGAGCCCCTTAGAAAGTAGTCATGCGGCAGTCCTATGACGCACTCTGTAAGTCTCAGATAATTTGTTTCCTTCTCTCAACGAGGCCCATGAGTTGGGGCCCACAAACATCCAGGGGAAGCAGTTGAAAGGTTGTGGCTAGGGAATATTTACAAAGATCATTGTTATTCATAGATAGGCTGCATTTAAAGAACACTAATGTCCAGTGTTACCAATCCCAAGTGTTCAAAAATCCTGAGTCAGGCCAGTGAAAATCATGAAATTGGCTCGATAATCGTGAGATTTTTAAAAATAATAAATTTTGGGCTCTGTTTGCCTTCTGGTTTTTTGAGCCTTTTGGGTACCTTGAATCAAGATTTCAAGCATTTCTCCACAACCATGAGGACTAGAAACTTGCTTTTTAAAATTGAAAGTTGAGATTCTTATGTATTCACATGACTCCAGAAGCTGAGGTCAGGAGAATCACAATAAAATCCTAAGCGTTGGTCACATGGAAAAGCTTTGGGGAATATTTTAGTTAGACAGCTGGTTTGATGTCATGTCAGTAAAGTGGGTTGAAAATTTTCTTCAAAAAAAGCTTTGACAGAAAATTGGGTTCTTGATTAAATGAAAATGTTCATGGAAAGTATCTGATTTAATAAAAACAAATGCATATTTTTTTACCAAAAATAAAAACCTCAAAACCCTCAAATTTTTCAGTGCGTGGCTGAAAATATTTTGTTTTTGTTTTTTTTGGGGGGGTTGCCATTTTCTGACCAGTGCTAAGTGTTACAAAGATTTCCTAAAGTTAGGCTCCTAAGACCATATTTAGGTAACAAAAGCCTAGATTCACAAAGGTATTTAGGCTCCTAAGACCTGGTCTACACTAAAAAGTTAGGTCGACCCAGCTACGTCACTCAGGGGTGTGAAAAATCCACACCCTTGAGCGACATAGTTAAGCCAACTTCACTCCTGATGCAGGCAGCGCTATGTCAGCGGAAGAATTTGTCTGTTGACCTAGCTACTGCCTCTCTGGCAGGTGGATTACCTATGCTGCCCAGAGAACCCCTCCAGAGAGCCCACAGTTAGTGTCTACTTTGAAACACTACAGTGGCACAGCTGAAGCACTGTAGCATTTCAAGTATAGCAGCAAGTGGCTTGATTTTTCAAACGTGAGGAGCACCCAGCGGCTCTCGTTGATTTCACAGGACTTTAGATCAGATCCTTGGAAATTTGAGTGCTCAGCACATGTGAAAAATCAGGCCCAAAATAAGTAAGGAAGTCCCGAGTCTTGGATCCATGTCCCTTGCACTAACCGTGAGATGGCATCACCTCTCATTTGCAGTGTCACACACACATTAATAACTACTATGAAGTCAAATCTGTCTGCATGCAAATAGCTTGGCTAATAAAACATATAAAGCGAGGTAGGCTGATTATTACTTCATGTCTTAGCAGAACTATGTCTTTATATTGTGCTTGCCATGCGGCACCAGAGCCTTCCAAACCCCACACAATTATTTCTTTATTTAAACTAAACTCCCCAGTTACAATCTGGGTAGTCTTTTTTGGGTGGAGTGCAGAACCCACATTGTTAACTCCGGATAACAATAATTAAAAGAAAATAAAATCAAAGCAGCTCAGGAAATAAACGGAACATTTTTCTATGAAAGCCAAATGATTCTATTAAACGTCTGTGGTTTAATAAACTATTATGAAGTTTGGGAGCATATTTTTCCTGGGACTTAATCTGTTTACATATCTAAAAAAGTAAATAGAATATCACTTTACTTGACCACACAGAGAACCTGATACATCATGGCAGTGCTGCCACATATGTTTCTTGGTTAAATGTTTCCACCTTGGATTTCACTTAATGGAAATGTTCAACTTCTTATGCCGTGTGTGAAATCCTGGCTCCACTGAAGTGGACTTCAACAGGGCCAGCATTCCACCCTTTGTTTCTTCAGTGGTGCTGCACTTATTTACACCCACTAGGCCCTGACCTCAGGCAGGTCTCTACATCTCTGTGTGCTGCAGTTCCCTCACTTCTAGGACTTCCCGAAATCACAGAAGTCTGGGGTGGACCAATTAATAGTTGTGAGGCATTCAGGGCCAGATTTTTTTCAAGGCATTTAGTTGCCTAAGGAGGTAAGTGGGTGCCTATTGCCAGAGCTGGGTGAAATTTTTCGTTTGAGTTGACTGAAACAATTTGTGAATTGGGGTCGGTTTGGGCGAATTGTTTTGGCTGTAAAAGAGCTATAGTTTTAGCGGAGATGTCTAATCGGTTCATTTCAGAACATCCAAAACAAAGCGTTTTCACTTTTTGATTTGGAAAGACATTTTGTTTCAGAATTGCCTCTGTTTTATTTTTTAAAAAAAAACCCCAACAACCTCAAAATCACAACAAAAGATTTTATTTCAGACCGACCAATGCATTTTGGTCGCCTTTGCTCATCATTTAATTTTGCCAAAATTGTTTGTTTCGGGATGAGCTGAAACAATCCCCATCCGCGCCCACCTCCCATGCCATCCCCAAGTCTTTTGTTTTGGCCACCAAATTAATCATGCAGCTCTACGTAGTGGGATTGATTTCAATGGGATTTAGGCATCCAGACACTTTTCAAAACCCAGTTTAGGTGCCTCTCTGCCTCTTTCAGTGCCTAAATGCCTTAAAAAATCTGGCCAACAGATAATGAGGGCCACAGTAATGCCTGTTTGGTAAATAGGAGGTACACCAAATTTACGCCAGCGTGCGAGAAGAATTCGCCCCTTGTTTCAAACCATTTTATACATCTGCACGTACATGTGATCATTGCTCCTAAAAGGATTATTTTAAAGTGAAGAAAACACATACAAATGAATATTTTTCCATTTTAGTATGTATCATATACCTTCCCCCTCCTTTGCATCTAAGCCATCAGCAAAAAGACAGCAGAGCCTCTCAATACCCGTAAACTTTATTAAATGTGTGCTTCTTCGTCTTAAATTAAATTAATCTGGGCCATACAGAAATAGCACCAAAGGGAGGAAATGAGAAGATCACAAAGCAAAGGAAAACCAGAAAACATTATGTACAAACAAGAGGGTTTTTTTTTTCTATGTTTAAAAATACATGGACAAGTCCCCTGCCCTGGAGATCTAACTGAATATATGCTAAGTTATGTGGGGCGCAAAAAAGGAGGCTGAATATCAGTTATTTAAAATAAATAAATTAAATTCAGGATATAAATTTCCATATACCAAGCACATCATTGCTTGAAATATAACTTAAGGTTATAGCCCTCCCCCCTGGAATATCAGTTGCATTAAATACAGGAGCCTCATTCCTTGGAATCCCACGACATATTGGTGTTTAGGTTCATTTCTAGTGTTTGAAATATTTGGATAAGACAATTCCTTGTGAGGTTATTATATACCCGATGGCACAGAATGTTCATACAGCCACTTTTTCCCAGAGACTCACAACAAGAAAAATCCTTTTAACACATCAGTGGAAAGGTCACAAGCTACCCTGCAAAGTAAGCCCGGTTAGTCTGATCTTTTCAGATCCAGGCAGCTAGATCTCAGTTCAATAGTCTACCCTGATTCAGCAAAGCATGTGCTTAAATTTAAGCATGTGCCTAGGGCCCGCTTCTCAAAGGTATTTCGGTGCTTAATTCTCTTAGAAATCAATGGGAACTAGGTGCCTAAATGCCTTTGAGAATCTGGGCTTAAATGCTTTGCTGAACTGGGGCTTCTGAGTCTGATCCAAAACCTACTGAAGTCAATGGAAAGATGCCTGTTGACTTTGCATCTGACCATTAGAGTGTCTAGAGAAGGAAAATGCACTGGTTGGTTTTGTACCATTTCACCAAAAGCCGGGCCTGATTTTGAACCGTGAGAGCACCTGTGTATCGCACTGAAGCCAGTTGAAGGGAGTTACAAGTGCGCAGTGCGTCTGATGACAAGGCTGTCAGTTATTTAAAATCACGGGGGGGGCGAGGGGGGGGTCCAATTGTGTACTCATGCTGTGTAATTTCTCTCTGGCCTGATTCCAACATCACACCCATTTTACACCAGCGTATCGTTATTATGATTCATAATACAATAACGCCTTGGAGCCTGTCATGAGCCTGGACCCCTTTGTGCAAGGCATGTACAGACATAAAGCAATGTCAGCTGAGACTGATTTACAGTGGTGTAAATGCGATCAGATGGAGGCTAAGTGGGAGATGCCGCTGTGGAACTGAGAGAAGGCTATGACCCTCCATACAGATACAGCGCTTTAAAGAAACACTGTGGAAGTCTAAAAGTTGCATATGACACAAAACCAACCCTTATCTGGGCCCAAGACCACCTTAGCTTATTAAAAACGGAAAGATTTTTAAACATCTTATTTGCTTTTCATCACCAATCCCCTTCCTCCCCTTCCCGCCCCCTCCCCCAGCCCACTTTACTCCATTGGGAAAAATCAAACTCTTTAAGTCAATTTCACTTTCCATGTTCTGCTATACTTGCTCAGTAATATTGAGCTGCGGGTTTCCCTACACAGGGGACTAGTTAAATCCATCCCACACCCTTGTTTAGAATTTTCAAATCAGACTAAGGGCTTAGGTAATTTGGGTCCCAGATCCTCAAAGGTATTTTTTTTTAATTCACTTAAATACCTTTTAGGATCTGAGGCTTAAATCATATTAGATTTCAATGGGATTTGCGGGCCTAACTTTTCTTAGGCTACTAGGAAAATGGCAAGCTTTATTCAGTCAGTAGGATTTTCAAAAACACCTAAGTGATTTAGGAGCTTTGAAAGTCAATGGGCAGGAAAGCATTTCAATGGTACAGATGAGAGGTGCTAAGGGTTTGTCTATACACCAAAGCTGCACCACAATTGGTATAGTTAAAGCAGTATAACCCGCATAATGCAGACACAGTTATATTAGTATAGAGATGCTTTATAGCAGTATAGCTATTCCTGTACGGGAAGGGGACTAATCTATATTGGGATCAGCCACTGTTATACCAGTCTCCATCCACATGAGCTGTACTGCTCTAAAAATATTGGTTAAAAAAACCCCACACCCCTAACCAACACTTATACTGGTACAAAATCTGTGTATAGAGCAGGCCTATCTTTTACTGAAAAACAATGGGCGTTAGGTGCCTATAGGTCATTGTGCCTGTGAAACTTGCTCCCTGTTGTGCCTAAGGCATTTAGATGCTTTTACAAATCCTACCTCTTAGTTTTGTGAAACTTTTTTGTTTTGTAACAAAGCCTAATTTTTTGCCCTAAACTCAACTGTGTCCCTTTTAAATGATGCCAGTCGCTCAGTAACTAAGCAGGTGGTCTAGTTCCCCCAACTGGTGTCATAAGGCCATTTGATTTTGACGCCCATTTGCTTTCACAAGGGTTAGGGGGAGAACCTTGCACCGAGATTAATGATACATCCTTGTACCTCTATCTTTGCAAGACCATTTGTTCCAAAGGCATCCCACGACATGCTTTTGTTGCATAGCCAGTCATACTCAATCTGACAGCAGCAGACAGTGATTACAGGCAATGAACACTTTATGAAACATACTGGTCCTAAAAGACTAACAGATTTATTTGGGCATACGCTTTTGTGGTAAAACAACAGTTCTTCAGCTGGTTTTTTACCCACGAAAGCTTATGCCCAATAAATCTGTTAGTTGTTAAGATGCCACCAGACTCCTCGCTGTTTTTGTGGATACAGACTAACACGGCTACAACCGATACTTGATACTGGTCCTTGACTCTGTTAACAAATGATTCAAGATGGGATTGTCAATGTCCTCAAATGGAGATGATGGCTTATAAGAGATCCAAGCCATTGAGTCTGGGAAGCGATTGGAAGGTCATGACTGATTTCTTCACAGTGCAGGGGGGAATTGCAGCGAGGCTGCTTCACTGGAGCTCTTAGGAAGTCACAATGCCTGGTCCAATGGCCACTACAGGATGACACGGTACAAGCACATGGGCTAAATTCAGCAGTGGATATAAGTTTAGAAGGACTTTTAGTGAACTTTATACCTCCTTCTGAACCCCCACGCTGTCACCGTGCAGGACTGTTAGACTCTCTCCGGGTATGTCTACACTGCCATCAGAGGTCTGAATGCAGCACATGTAGTGAGACCTGAACTAGCTTTAATCTAGCTAACCTGAGTGCTAAGAGCAGGGAATCCACAGCAGCACGTGGGCTGTCCAAAACAGGCAGCTAGCTCGTGTGGTCACGGCTTCATTGTGGTTGGTACCTGAGCTAGCCAGAATCAAGCTAGCTTGTGTATTGCGGCATGTGGAGCAGGCACACCTCCACTGCAGTGCAGACGTACCCTCAGACGTTGCCAAGTGGGGCTGAGAAAATTTAAATGAGATTTCAGAGCCACCTCAGTGATTCAGAAGCACAAACCCTATTGGCTTTCAAAGCAACTTGTCTTCCTGTGTCACTAGGTATGTCTCAAAATCCCATGCAGGAAGGCTAAATTAGCCTATAGGAGAGTAATTTACACTTCCATACAAATCACGTCTGGCACTGGTTGCATGTATAAGCCAGGCTGAAAAAATGACACCGAGGTTTATCTGCAGCCCAGGGGATTCTTGCCATAGGAATCACAAATATTGAATACAATGTTCAGCCATTATAAATATTTTAAAATGAGTCTATATTCCACCGCCAGGAAGTTCAAAGTTCAATAGATTCCCTGTTGCAGAGTAATGCAGCTTTGGGGGAGGGGAAAGTATTATGTCATATAAATATACGAGTGAGCGTCTTACATGAGTCAGAGCTGTCTGGAAACACGATCTAATAGGCCACATTTCACAGAGAGGGCTTTCATTTCCCTTCAATGTGTCCTGTGTGTGTTGGGAATGCATAAGGACCATAAATACTGTAGCCCTCTCTTAAAAACAAGGGGAATTGTCAGCAGACCTCAAGAGCGCCTTTTCAAAGTGCTAGGTATGGGGAGTGGGATTTTCAGATGCTTGGTTCCAATTCATGTGAATGGATGTGGTATGGCCAAAACCAAAAAGCCACATCTTGAAAACTTCCACGGATGGTTTGGATGAAACATATTGGGCCTTTTTAGTTTTTTTCATCTAGGGTTCTGATCTGAGGCCCACTGAAATCAATAGGTCTCTTTCCACTGACTGCAGTGGCTTTTGGATCAGATTTTAAACACTTGACTGGGGCCAGCTCTTCACCCACAAGCTGAAAGAAGCTCTGGGTAACAGAATCAGGTCACTCAGACAGCTTCAGCCTTTGGTGAACTTCAAAATGCATTGGTCCCTCAACCCTCCAAGGAACCAGCCACTGCCTTGCTGAAAGGCTTAACCATTTGATACCTAAGGAGGCAATATCATTGCTCAACAACAGCTGAGTTTTGGAACTAGAGGTGTAAAATGGCATGCTCACACGGGAAGCAGAATATATGGAGATGCCTGTTCAAAGAGCAATGCCAGCAGGACAGCTGTAACCAAGCCATAGATTCAATTTTCAGGTGAAGCGATGATCGCAAAACAAGTAAAGAAGGGCCAGGTTTGATGGTTCTCCCATCACCCCCACCAGCTGAGCATGATCATCAGAAACTATAGCGCTGGTCAAAGCATTTTACATTCTGAAATTTCATTGAAATATTCTAGTAAAATGTCAAATTTCAGGGGAAAGGAAACACACTTTGTCATTGATTTTTGCTAAAAACATTTACCAATCTGCTCTGATTTTGGCACTTGGGGCTAGAAAATGGAAGTCCAGAGGAGGTGGATAGGGAAATATAACAAGGGGGGAAAGTTAACAGCTTTACTGCTGCCCCAAAAGAAATCTTCTGGTTTGAGTTTTGGATGAAAGTTCAGGGTGGTGATGAAAATTCTTGCACTGTCCAAATTCATCTGCAAGTTCTGTTTTACTCAGCTGAGAAGGTCTGACTGTTGCCACAGCCCATTTGGCTGTTGTGACCACAGCTGGCCAGGATCTTAACAACAGGTGAGCACTGTAGCCGCCCATGACTCCACCCTTCGACAGACCTCCCAGAGGATTAAGACACAAAGGGAGGCACTATGTACTCGAGTGAGCGCTGTGGCTTTGCTTTGTTCTGGGTTGCATTTGGCTGATCTGATCGCTACTTTTTGTTCTTTGTTTGGTTAAGATGATTATAAAATGTTTACCCAGATGTTTTGTGCCACGGGATGCTGCCAAAAAAAGGGCTTAAAGCTGGAGCTGGAACATTCTGAATCAAGAACTGAGACAGAGGATGACCATATTGGCTGAAGGTAGTGGGGTTGCTGTGGCCTCTTGTGCTGAGGATGGGAGGGTGTACTGCAGAGAAAATGACTTACCAGTTTTCTAGCACCCTACTGTTAGCTTGCCAGCCAGCTGTTACTGGACTCTGGGTAAGGAAAACTGAGCTCATATAAGGCTTTATGGGGGCAACAAGTGGGAGACAGTCTTGGGGCCAAGGCCTTCAGAAAGCCCTGCCAACATTAACACAAAGTGATTTTAAATAGATCGGGAAGTGGGTCCTGTTTGTGAATCCACCCAGGTTTGGTTCTGCAGCAGTGAGGGGGAAATTACTTTCTGAGCCCCTATAGCCTCAGCAATGTGCAGGATCATATCTTAAGCTGGTTAGGAGAAAAGCTGGGAAGTGGATTCAGGAGAGCCAGGAGTGGGTGGAAGGCCCAGCTCTATCCTCTTTCTCTTTACACGAATGTGATATTGGTGGCAGATGGTGCCCTGAAAGCCCTGGACCCTGACCTGCTTTCTTTACCTTTGGAACAGGTAGGCAGGAACTGGAGGGACCACCTGCAGAGCTAGAGGGTAATTTCACACACATCATCTTGACCTCTTCGATTATCAACTCATTTTTCTCCTGAACTCTCTTCTCTGCTTTGATGCCTAAAAAAAATCCTGACAACGGTTATGCAGCCGGTATGCTGGAACCACCGCTTTTCACGCTGACCAGTATTGTCTCATTGTTACCTAGTGCTCCCCGGGCTGTCTCCATCTTGTCCTAGACCGTAAGCTCCTCATGGCACGGACTGTCTTTTGGTTCTGTTCAATGGAGTCCTGATCCATGAAGTGCCTAAGCACTACTGTAATACACCTAATAAACAGCAATCGTAATGCACAGAACCTAGCACAATGGGGTCCTGGTTCATGACTGAGGCTTCCAGGCGCTAATATAAATAATAATCATCTAATGAAACTATGGACAAAAGGGCCAAATTGTGTGATTTGGGCACCTGCCTAATTAATGGATAGCTACCACCAACTCACTTTATAGAAGCCACAAAACAGCCGTCAAGAATCAGGGCAAAGAATTGAGATCTCCAGGTATCGTAACAGGGAGGATTATTTTAACAAACATATTGAAGAAACCCGACAAACCCAATCTGCTCTTTCCTGTTTTCTCCCCCATGTTCCGCAGAAGAGTGCTGCCATTTTGTTCTCAGCAGGGCAGCCATTAGGTTCTCACCACACTCTTGTGAACAACTGGCTGGTTTTTTGGGTTTTTTTTTCAAATGAACCTTTGCTCCAACATTTTCTCTTCTAAGATTTTTCTGAAGCCTAGAGGGCCTTGTCCAACATATTTCTGAACGTGGCTTAGCAGGATACCTCACATGCCACCTCTCCCACAACTCTGGCTCTTACCCTGTTATTCCGTATTCAAGAATATACAGGACATGGAGTCCCCCCACACCCCACAATGACTCCCCTCTTAGTATGAAACCCCATGAGGGCCACACCCTCAAACCCTATGGATGACATCCAATGGGACGCATGTTGGCTTGGTGAAGTTTCTGAATGGGAATCTTGAAAGAGGTGGGTGAGCTCTGAAATAGCGACCCAGAGAGAGTACAAGTGATGGGGGAAGCTGCTTGCGAGCTGGTGGGCTGGAAAACAGCCTTTTGACTACACTGAGATTTTCATGTCAAAAGATCACTTTTTGTCAAAACCTATTTCCTCCCCTCCCCCGCTTTCTACAACCAAAAGCCAAATTATTTCAATTTTATATATAAAAAACCCTCCCGTTTTTCACCAGTTGCTGAAAAAAAGCTTGGTTTTTGGTTGCAGAATTTTTTTTCCACTTTTTGGATCAAACTCCCCAAAATTTCAAAGAAAAATTGATAAAAAAGTGAAAAAAAATTGATAAAAATTTTTCCACAGGAAAAAGAATGTCCTGACCAGCTTTGGGATCTTCAAAAGTGAATTAGGTATTTAGGACCCTAAGTCCTATTTTCAAAAGTGACTAAGGGATACATTTTTAAAGGCATTTGGACACCTCCCATGGGAGTTAGGCACCTAACTAGATTTAAAAATCCAGCCATTAGTCATCAAGGCCCAGATCTGTAAAGGTATTTAGATGTTGCTGCGCTCACTGTTGCAATGTCTAACTGATTTAGGAGCCTAAGTCCCATTTTCAAAAGTGATTTATGCATTTAGGAGCCTCAATCTTCATGATGAGATTTAGGTGCCTAAATCTATTAGGCATTGCAAGGCTGAGCACAGCAACGCCTAAATACCTTTTAAAATCTGGGCCTTAGAGAAGCCCAACTGTCATTGAAAGTCAATGATTTAGGCTTCTAAGTGCCTATGTCGCTTTTGAAAATGGAACTTAGGTAAATTTGAAAATGATGCTCCCAGACTTTTCTATAGACACAGTGTCAAATCCTGAAACCACTGACATAAATGGCCAGAGCCCTGTTGACTTCAACAGCACCAAGCTTTGGCCCACAGCCACCTTGCCTTATCCATGGAAGGAGACACCAACCCGCTGCTAATAGAAGAAAGAAAACAAACCAAGCAGTGACATTGTGCCAAAAAGAACAAACAGAACGGAGAGTGTTTTCAGCACAACGCTTACATTTTTGTTTTTCCCTCTCTACTGATATGTAAAAAAAATATATATTATATTATATTTTTTCTTTTCTTAAATTATTCTTTTTTTCAGCCTCAGTCCCAGCCGAAGTCGTGCCCAGTCATCTGGTAGAACTTCATGTTGAAAGGCCTGTAGAACTCCCGCAGTCTCTGCAGCACCTCTCGGTCTATATTGGGGTGGGTCCTGCCTTTCGTTTTCCCCAGGCAGTGGGGTTTGCTGCTGCCTTCAGCCTTCTTCAGGCAAGGGAAGCCCTTGGTTTTGTTGAAGTAGAAGTGTTTATCCGTAATGATCCTCTTAAGGCCCAGAAAGTCCTGGACCCTGCCCAGCTCCCCGGCGGGGTCACTGATCAGCCTCTCCCCGCTGACAAAGAGGATCTGCCCAATGGGGAAGTAGAGGAGCCAGTTCTCCAGGTGCTTGGCGTAAATGCCAATCTGGATGGCGCTCCATGAGGTGTCGATCAGGCCTGTAGTCCTGTTTTTGAAAGTCAGGCTCTCAAAGGTGGGGATATCGGGCTTCTTTGAGAGAGTCTGTGTGTAATCGGAGATGGCTCGGGTCACGGGGTCCCGCACCACCACGATGAGCTTGGTGCCCTTCGACATGGCAGAGATTCGAGCAGGTGCTTCCTTGGTGACGAAGTAGCTGGGAGTTTTCTCCATGGTGATCTGCCCATCCAGGGTTCTGGGCATCAGGTCCCTAACCAGAAGAGAGAGAGAAAACACATTAATGCAGAACATCATTGGGACTGGGGCACGCGAGTCCAGGGCACAGCATGGCCCAGACGATGATCACCTGGGAGTGAGCATCAGGGTGCAAGGACACTATCTGTGTCCTGGTGACCAAGGGGTTAACTCCATCTCCTCCTGCACAGGTGGTGAAGGGGAAGAGCTGTGATGCCCTGGTACTTAAGTACTTAAGCACAGGCCAAATTTCAAGCCCATGAGTGGCCCCATTGACTGCACTGGGACTGAACGTTTTTTCAAGTGAGGCACGTCCTGAGAACTTTGCTGAATTGTGGCCTATGGGTGGCTCTTCGGGAAACAGAAGGGAAAGCTGGGCTCCACACCAAGGGTCATGGGATAGGGCTGAAACCCAAGTAAGGGAGTTTCCCATTTCCTTTCTATTGCTTAACTTGATTGGTTGCTGTGACCTTACTGACTGTAGCTGCATTGCTCCACCTGCATGTTCTTCCCTATTCCTTATTTGGATATGTCCATTAACAAACAGTTCCACCTTCGCATGGTACCTCTGAGTTGTGTCAATAACAGAAATGCGGTGGGCATATGGATTGCCCCTCTCCAGCCAGACACATTTGAGTGTCTCAATGGCTCAGAGAAGGGCAGTACTATAGAAAGCATGATGCTACTCAGGGAGCTAGGGCGGAGAGACTGTCAATGTGGAAAAATAACAGACAAGAACGCAATATCATACATATTGAAGTTAATGCAACAGGAAAGGTAACAATACCTGATGATCCCTTTCCACTGGAGTCACCACAAATACCCCCATGGACTTTGGTGGGAGCTGGATCAGGCTCTTGGGGCTTGTCTACACGGAAAAAGCCTGGAATAGCTATTCCGTACTAGCTCCCCATGTGGACACTTTTAGCTTAATCTGTTTTGGAACTGGATTGAGCTAATCCACCCAAATATGCTCTCAGTGCAGAAAGCGGACTGAAAACTGATCAACAGCACTGATGTGAAGAGTGGGTTAATAAGGATGTCAATTATGATACTGCCCATTTATGTTCAATGAGACTAAATGGTAAAAAAACAAGGTCCAGGAGTTACTGGGGTTCTGGTTTCTGTGAGGACACTATAGTGCCCCAGTGCCTCCAGGATCACTTGCAATAACTTCTTATAATAACATTGTACAAGCAACACGCTTGGTTGATCATAGGATGACTATTAGCTGCCAATGTGATATGGCTGTGAAAAAATCTAATGCGGTCTTGGGATGCATCAGGAGAGGTATTTCCAGTAGGGATAAGGAGGTTTTAGTACAGTTATACAAGGCACCGGTGAGACCTCACCTGGAATACTGTGTGCAGTTCTGGTCTCCCATGTTTAAGAAGGATGAATTCAAACTGGAACAGGTACAGAGAAGGGCTACTAGGATGATCCGAGGAATGGAAAACTTGTCTTATGAAAGGAGACTCAAGGAGCTTGGCTTGTTTAGCCTAACTAAAAGAAGGTTGAGGGGAGATATGATTGCTCTCTATAAATATATCAGAGGGATAAATACCGGAGAGGGAGAGGAATTATTTAAGCTCAGTACCAATGTGGACACAAGAACAAATGGATATAAACTGGCCATTCGGAAGTTTAATCTTGAAATTAGATGAAGGTTTCTAACCATCAGAGGAATGAAGTTTTGGAATAGCCTTCCAAGGGAAGCAGTGGGGGCAAAAAATCTATCTGGCTTTAAGATTAAACTCGATAAGTTTATGGAGGAGATGGTATGATGGGATAACCTGATTTTGGTAATTAATTGATCTTTAAATATTCATGGTAAATAGGCCTAATGGCCTGTGATGGGATGTTAGATGGGGTGGGATCTGAGTTACCTAGGAAAGAATTTTCTGTAGTATCTGGCTGGTGAATCTTGCCCATATGCTCAGGGTTTAGCTGATTGCCATATTTGGGGTCGGGAAGGAATTTTCCTCCAGGGCAGATTGGAAGAAGCCCTGGAGGTTTTTTGCCTTCCTCTGTAGCATGGGGCACAGGTCACTTGCTGGAGGATTCTCTGCTCCTTGAAGTCTTTAAACCATGATTTGAGGACTTCAATAGCTCAGACATAGGTGAGGTTTCTCGCAGGAGTGGGTGGGTGAGATTCTGTGGCCTGCATTGTGCAGGAGGTCAGACTAGATGATCATAATGGTTCCTTCTGACCTTAGTATCTATGAATCTATCAAGGCAATTACTGTACAGAGCAGTTTCATACTCTCTAATTACGTAGAGAGTATGTCTTCACTGCAAAAAAAAGGTATGTTCTTAACTCGGATTAATAAAGCAGCGTGACAAGGAACTCAGGTTTTAACTCAGCTTAGCAGCTCAAGTTAAATTCTGTAGGGGAACGTGGGCTGAACTCGAATTGCTAACCTGAGTTAAAAGCTGAGTTGCCTTTTCTTTTAACCTGAGTTAGCTAACCCGAGTGAAGAACACACCCTTCATGTGCAGTGGACACATACCCTTAGGGAGATGTGGCAATGCACTTGATGGGCCTGTCTCACAATAACTGATTTTTACACTGGTATCAGCATGTACAGTGGAGGATGGAGCAGGATCTGAGTCAGGAGGAGATGGTATAAAAACATAACAGGGAACTTCCAGAAAAAACTCAAACCATTGCTTGCAACTGCACAGTAAGAACCAATTTAATCTATAAATTATCAGAGTCCTGTCCCTTTAAATTCCTGCTTGCCCACATTGGGATTTCCTGCCTCCTGGCTTGAATTTCGTTCAATAACACTGAGTTCCTGTAAGAAAGACACTCCCTTCCTGTAGGGTATGAGGAATTTTAAAGGGCCAGGACTGTCAGTCACAATCTTTTGGGGTTATCCAGGAGACAGCACAATGGTTTCACCTAAAAATGTGCAGTACTCGCCCCCTGCCCTCAATGCTTTCCTCCTTCCCCTCAGCCCCAAGGAATTCTGCACTCCACATTTCTGTCCTGTCCATTCGTGAAACTCCCATCGTCTTCGGTGTGAAGTGGTGAGGAAAAGCGAAGGCAGCCTTTGCCTCTAAGAATTCAATGCAATGCACAAAAGGCCTGGGAATTCAGGGTTACGATTACCCACCCTCATAGGTGCAATGCACTTTGCTGGGCCTAAACTCTGTGAGGTCCAAAAACAAATTACATATGCTGGGTTTCTTATGCAGGCCAAGCTTCCACTGATGCTAGTGTGCGTTTTGCCTGAGAAAAGACTGCAGGAGCTGGTCCTATGTTCGCTGCAGTGCTTAGACAAAGAGGAACGAACTCACGGTGCCACCCTGAACTATGAGCTCCTTTGCATGAATCTGGTTAAGACAGACACATACAAGTTGAGGCAGAGCAAGGGTGGGGCTTTGAGGGAAGGGGCGGAGTGGGGGAAGGGGCTTCGGGGCTGAGCTGGGTTGGAGCACCCCTGGGGAAAGCTGAAAGTCAGCGCCTGTGGCATAGGAAGAATAAGTGACCCACCCAGGGTCACACCGAGCATCTGTGGCCTAACAGGGAATTGAATCAAAAGCCTCCTGAGTCCCAGTCTAGTATATTGATCACAAACTCATTCTTCCTGCTGTCACTGAAGTTGAGAGGCCACAGGGCACCATGTTCGATCCCCTTAGGCTCATGCCAGCTTTCAGGACACCTCTGAATGAGCCCAACGGCTGCAAAATGCCAGTCATTCAAATGAAGCTGTCCTAGGCCAAGTGAGAAGCCACCTCAGATCTACTGTTTGTTGATTCTCACTGCAAACAGCTGCTATCTGCTGTAAATGAGCCTGTTCTTCCCAGAGGACACTGAAAATAAGCAGGACGCCAGCTGCTGCACTGGTAGCAGGTTTCCCCTCAGTGCAAAGAAGGGCTCTCAAAGAAACCACACCCTTTGCCCCTGAAAAACAGGGCCTGTAATCAAATCAGCAACTGACCCCTAGCCTTTGACCTCCCCTTGGCACGACAACCAGAGTGCCATGATGAACTGCCCCTGGCCCATATTGCAGTTACCGTCTGGCAGTGGCAACATCTGGATTGGAAACCTGTGCAAAACACCAGCAAAATTAAAGCCATCGATCAAAAAGGCCCCAACAAAAACCTAGGCTGAGTTGTTAGGTTACAAATGAGATAGAAACGACTGATTGTTTCTAGAGGAATGCTTTTTATTGCGTGCCATGTGTCACAGATGCTTGTGCAAAGAGCAGGCCCTTCACAAGTCTGAGGATTAGCTGTCGCCGGCTGGACAAGGCAGTTTTTGTGAATAGCTTTCCTTGCACAGCAGCACCAGTTGCAACAATGCCCATTTTGCAGGTACTCTCTTGTCTCCCTCCCGTTTGGAAGCTTTGAACTGTAAATCGGGAAGCATTCAACTCCTTTAAGGGGAATGAGAGGTGTTAAGGTAGCTGGAGCGCATGCATGCGATCTTGGGAGAGTAGGTGTGCTGCCATCTAATGGCACTCTCTCCCTTCTGGGGCTCATGTTGCAGTTAGGGTCTGCAGGTAGAGTTGCTACCTGACCAGGTTTTCCCAGGATCCTCCCTTTTTTGAGGTAGCAGTCCTGAGAAACCGGTAAGGACATTCAGTATATGATGCCAGCTGTCCAGTTTTATGGGCTCAGTATCATCCTGGCTGTTCTGAGTTTTTGTATCTCAGAGGTGGCAACCCTATCTCTGCAGGTGGGAACCTAAACGTACAGTGCAACAGAGAACAACGGGAGCTTGCAATTTAGTGGTTACAACTTATTATTAGCATGTATTATTTGCATTGCCATAACTCCTAGGAGCCCCAGTCGTGGAACAAGACCCTGTTGTGCTTGGCACTGTGCAAACACGAAGCAGAGACAGCCCCTGTCCCAAAGAGCTTAGGACCTAGAACTGTGCTACACGAAAGAAACAGCCCAGTTCACTTTCATACCACGAGCCGTTCATTCCAGCCTCATGATGTACTGTCATTAACACGCAGTAAGAAAGTGTGAGAGTAGGTGCAGACAACTGAAAAAGCAGCA